ACCGTCGTAAACATCTAAAGCGGAAAATTCGGGAAATTGATCCTCATGAAAGCCTTCATTGCTTCAAGGCTCTCTTTCGTTGCGGCGTTCTNAAGNTTNAATTCTTCAACTTNCTCNTCTTTCTTCTCAAGTGCTTCTTTGAGACTTTCAACTTCTTCATAGAGTANGGGATTGCTCGGCGAAGAAGAACTAGACCCNAACCTAGAAACTAGGTTGCCTAATCCAGGACGACGACCCTTGCGCAAAGGCGTTTCCTATGAAAAATGAGATGCAACAATATGAAAAATTATGGAAAAAAACAAAGTCGACATATAATTAAAACATAACAATACCTCGATGACCATATTGTTGATTTNGTCTCGGGACAACTCGCACTGGNTNGACGAAGAAGAACCATCCAAACCTTGAGAGAGAGACATTTGCGTAAGCCGCTCTTCCTTTCTCTTCTCCACCTTCTCGACGATTTCAGCAATGTTCGGATAATCGATCTTCCCGGTTACTTTGTTGGNGTGTGTACGTTTAATCAAAGCAACTAAATCCGGAGCCACACCGCCAGATTCTTGAATCTACAAATGTTTTCATAAATATTGTTAATGTGAAAGATAACAAAAACTATTTAAGAAAATTTGAAATACACTTACCATCTCGTCCTCCCGCGCTAAGAAACTCGTAGCCCCAGAGTTGTGAGTACCTCGAGGATTCTTCTTACGGTTCTCCGAGTTAATCTTTGCAAGCTTTTTCGTTGTCGGATCACCCCAATACGGCTGCAATCCCAACCAAACATCCTCGTTCAAGTTACGTGGTTTGTCCTCCCCTTTCTCCCATTTTTCCTTCCACTCGTTCATGTGTCCCGAGTAACTATCCTGGGCCATCTTGTNGAACGCANCCCNAACTTGTNCCGTCAANNNAGGANGCCAATCATAATNTTGCTACATTATTAAGAACATAAATAATTAGTAACTAAAAAATTATTTTGAAGACTAAAATTTTTGTTAATTAAAGACATACCGTAAAAGTTCGGAACCACAACTCTTTCTCACTTTGAGGCATTGCGTTCCACGTCTTATAANGATGTTTGAGGNGTGAACNTATCATCTTCAAAAATGATTTNGAGATCTTATTTTTCTTACCGAACCTAGAAACATGAAAACAATGTGTTAGTAAAAAAAAACAAAGTTAGTATTAATTTTAACATTCCTACAAAATTTTAATAATTTACCAAGTCGAGTTGCCCCGACACATTGGGTCGAGCTTTGGAATCTTCTCTCGGCCCGGTTGAGTCAATAACTCTTGGATCGTAAGTTGTTGTTGGTTGGAGCTTTGACTGTCCGGAATATGAGATGGGCTCGGGGGGTTTGGGGCTGTGTTTTGGCTCCTCGCACGTCTAGGGAGCTCACAAATTCTACGGAATTCGTTAAGCGACCTGCAAATTGACCAAAAAAAAGTTTGCAAAAAATAACTTGCAATGGCCGAGATGTTTCCAAATTGGCCGAGAGGTGTACAAAAAACAGTTTGCAATTTATGTAACTTGTTCATTTAAAAAAATAAAACACTAAACAAACAATTCACAATTTCTCCACATCAAATGCAAACATCAAAATCCCTAAAAATCGAGTATAAACACATCTAATTCAAACATCAAATTCNCTAAAAACATTTACAAATAACTTGTTCAAACATTCCCTACCTAAANAACCCTAAAAACAGCAATCTAACAACAATTTCATAAACTCTAACAACAATTTCATAAACNGTTTCTAAAATCTAATCGAAGGTGGCGGTGGAAACAATAAAATCTAACAACAATTTGGAGATTCTCTACATACATGATTTGCCGGTGGAGATGATGAAGAACCGACGCGATGGAGTTGAAGAAGAACCAGCGCGGTGGCGTTTGGTGAGAGAACGGGCCGAGTGGTGGAGATGGTGAGAGAAAAAGAAGCTACGGCGGTGGAGGAGAAAGCCCGGCGACGGTGGAGAAATCGATTTCCGAAAGCCCGGCGGTGGAGAAATCGATGTCCGAAAGCCCGGCGGTGGAGAAATCGATGTCTTTCGCCCAGAGAAGACAGTGTTTAGCGGCGAAGAGAAAGAGGAGAGAAAGAGATCTGTGTACGATTTTTTATTCCAGATTTTCGACGGATTTAACGGTCGGAAATCCGTCGGGAAGTTGTAAATTTCCGACGGAAATATCGGTCGGAAATAGTGAGGTCGGAAATCGGTCGAAAATTTAACAAAATTAAATGTTTTATTTTAAAAAATGTAAATCCACACTTTTAATTTTAAAATTTTAAAAAAAAATTAAATCCAAACTTTTTAAAAAGAATTATTTAAAAAATTTAAATCCACACTTTTATTTTAAAAATTTAAAATCCAAAATCGGTAGGAAATCTGTGGAAGATTTGCGATGGATTTTCCACGGCAATTATGTTTTTTTTAAAACTATTAAGTCGTTGGAAATCTGTTGGAAATTTTCCAACCGAATTCCTACCAAATGAGTTTCCGACGAATTTTCGATCGAATTTTCCAACCGAATTCTTACCAAATGTGTTTTTCACAGATTTCCGACCAATCTTTGCAACCGTATTCCGACGGGTATTGTTTTCGTCGGGAATTTCTAACCGATTTTGGACCGAAATGTTCCGGTTGAAAATCGGTCCAAAATACGTCGGAATTCGGTGGCAAAATTCCGACCGCTTAATGTCCGTCGGAAATTCCGTCGGAAAGTGGCATGTTTTCTTATAGTGTGGTCCTTCTTCATAAACATGACTTGCATCATAAGCTGTTGCAGTGAAAGACAACTCCCCAAATCTTTTTTCTGTTTCTACTTCGATTTGGCAGTAGTTAGCTTCTCCTTTGTACTTGCTTTTGCAGTACTTTGCAAAATGTCCAGACTTGCCACACACAAAGCATTCTCCTTGATCTTGCTTGTTCTCATAGGGCTTTCCTTCATGTACTTGCTTTTGCAGTACTTTGCTTCATGTGAGATTAGTGATCCAACGAGATCTGTCACAGTAATCTTCTTTAGATCTTTGGTTTCTTGCATTAAAGCTGCTAAACCCGGCAGAACTCTTTGGCATCGAGTTTAGTATCTTCCGGATCACTTGATGATTTGTCTTCTCTTCTCCTAGTAAACTCATCTGGTTCACCACCTCTTGTACTTTATCTGTGTAATCTCGGATCTTTTCTCCTTCTTGATCTTCGAACTTCTTGTTCAAATAATCTAGCCTCACAAGTTTCGCTTGGTCGTTGCTTTGATAGGTTTCTTGTAGCCTTTGCCAAATTTTCTTAGATGTAGTTACATGAACTGCTTTCATTAAAATCAAATATGTCACATCCATCTCTAACATTTGTAGAGTTTTCATATCTTGCATCTCTTTTTTCTTTCCATTCTTCTAATAATTTTTCTTTTTCTTCCGGTTTTTCTTTTGGCTTTGGTGGAAGTCCTTCCTCCACAATTTTCCAAAGCTCTTGAATCCTTAAAGTAGTTTTTATCTTTGTAGCCCAAAGCTCATAGTTTTGCCCATCAAACACTGGAATTGTTATTGTTTGCAAGGTTTTAGTCATCTTTTAGCTTCTACCCAGACTTTGCACGAACCCGGATTTTGCTCAGAGACGAACTTTGCACAAACTGGTTTCTTTTCACGAACCCGGATTATGCTCATAACGATTTTGCAGCGGAGTTAGTTTCACACGAATTTTGCACGTAACGAATTTTCTTAAGAACACTCAAGACCTTGCTCTGATACCATGTTGGGATTTTCTCTATAGAAAATAATTTTTCTTAAACCTC